GACCAGGGACAGAACCGGGCCAGGAAAGGGCCGGATCCGGGCCAGACCAGGGCCTGGAAAGGGCCGGATCCGGGCCGGACCAGCGCCAGACCAGAACCGGACCCGGGCCAGACCAGGACCGGACACGGGCCAGACCAGGGCCAGATCCGGGCCGGACCAGTGCAAGACCAGGGATAGACCCGGGCCAGGAAAGGGCCGGACTCGGGCCGAACCTGGGCCGGATCAGGGCCGGACCATGGCCGGGCCACGGCAAAACCAGGGCCAGGAAAGGGCCGGATCCGGGCCGGACCCGAGTCAGACCAGCGCAAGACCAGGGACAGAACCGGGCCAGGAAAGGGCCGGATCCGGGCCGGACCAGCGCCGGACCAGGACCGGACCCGGGCCGGACCAGGGCCGGTCCAGGGCCAGCCCAGGGCCGGATCCGGGCCGGACCAGCGCAAGACCAGGGACAGACCCAGGCCAGGAAAGGGCCGGACCCGGGCCAGACCAGGACCGGACCCGGGCCAGACGAGGACCAGACCAGGTCCGGACCCGGGCCGGACCAGCGCAAGACCATCATTTGTATATGGACCCCTGTGATAAAGCCTTGCTCACCCTTTGGCCACCCCTTGAAAAAAAGTCGAGCTCCGCCACTGCAGACAGAAACAGTTTATATTAAAATCCTGTTTATGAATCATGTTTGGTGGATGAATCATAAAATGTGACAGATGAGAGACGTCTGATCAAGCAGAGTGTTTCTGACTCCATTTGGGTCATGAACCAAGAAACCCTGTGGAGAATCAACAATAATTATAGTTTATTAATGACAATAAATTTAACAGATTTCAGGAAAAACGACTCAAAGATGATTTGAACCAGAACAACACAGAGGATTTTTCTCCCTGGATTTTATGGGACGAAGCAAAAACTTTAATTATCTGGTTCTCTAACGAGAAAGAGAGAAATGTTTAAAAGATTAGAAAACTAAAATCTCTACAAATACAACGTATGGAAAATATTAATAAACAAATCAGAGAAACAAGGAGAGAAACTGTTTCTATGAAACCAGATGGAGGAAAAGGATAAATTTATTCAACTCAACTATTATGGAAATAGATCAAAGCAAAGAAACTGATAGCAAACTAATAGATTTATCAATAAATTAAAATCCAACAGATAAAGACACCGATCTCTAAAACACATGAGAATCTGTTGAATGATCCTCCACTCAGTTCTGCTCTCAGCCTCATGCAGTTTTTGCTGCTGCTCTGGATTCACCATCGATAGGAACAGATCAAAATCATCCACTAACAACTAATCACTGATCAATAAAGTCATTAAAGACTGAAAGGGAATCAGACGGCAGGTGAGGAGGCGACCCGGCAGAGCGGCTGCTGAAGGATTGATTAGATCAGAACTTTGTGGAGGGGAAACGCCGCCATCTTGGATCAGAGCAGAGATGTCAGTGATTCCTAAACCTGGTAAAGATGAAACTGGATGTGGTTCATAAACCAACATCAGTTTGAAACATTGATTACAGGATCACTGCAGCAACACTGGATAAATATTATAATCCCAGGAATTACAGACACAGATCAGATTTAATCTGGTTTTATCATCAACATTCAAACCCATGACAACGTGGGCTCCTGACCTCACAGGTCAAAGGTTAAACAGAATCAATAAAGTCATTTAGATGCTGAAAAGGCTTTGATTCAATGTGTTGGAAATATCTTTATTGAGCTCTGGACAGATTTGGCTTTAATAATCAGATTATAGGTTGTTTCAGTCTGTATGAATCACATTCTGCCAGGATTAGATTAATGTGGATTATCAGATTCAGGAAAGGGTCTGTGGCCGAGGCTGAACCCTCATCGCCACGTTGCTGCTTTTATTGATCCATCAGAGAACAACAACATTATGGGAGGAACTATTAAGGAACAAGACCAGACGATGAGCTGCTAACGCTAACTGCTAACGCTAACTGACCCAGAGTTAGCCGACCTGATAGCACAGGATGCTACGTCAACGATGGATTATAGTCAGAATGGTTGATTTCTGGTCCATAATCAATGATCAATCAGCAAACAATCATCCAATTCTAGTCAGAACCAAAGTTGAAAATGTGTCAACGAATCATTTGAGGTTGAAATTGATGAATCAAACGCCGATAACTGATCAATATCTGTTATCGGCAGATATTGATCGAGTCAATATCTGATCTATATTAAATCAATAAATGCTTTCCCAACTCCCTCTTCAGTACTTTGGTTCTTGGTTTGGTGAAACTGAACTGGATCTTTATCAGCATTTGGACATTTTTAATGAATTTAATCAACTTATTTTTCAGTGTTTGTGATTAATGGAGGATTGAACCAGTTATTGATGAACTTTAACCCCTGTATATATTGTCAATAATTGTTCCAACTGCAGTTCAAATCACCTTTTGCTCTATTTTTCTGTCTCTGGTGTTAAATCAATCCTGATTTGATCTTTAGGTTTTCTGATAAACACTTTATTTTAAAAAATTGACTCATTTTTACCACGAGCTGCAGCATCATAAATGCTGCAGCATAGTGCAGCATTTATGATGCTGCACTATGCTGCAGCATTTATGATACTGCAGCATAGTGCAGCATCATAAATGCTGCAGCTTGATAGCTAAATGTAACTGTATGTGTCGACTGGCATAAGATAAATATTTATGAATATTCCTCATTAACTTAGCAGTGAGTGTACATCAATCAATCAGATTGACTGATTGATTGATTGATTGAGTGTACATGGGGAACCGAACGCTTTGTGTTTGTTCTCAGACCTGTAACCAGTTCCCTACTTAATATTTCTGCTTGTTACAAAACGTCTCTCTTGCTCTGCAGAACCTGGTTTCTTTAGCAGAATGCTCTCAGAGTCAAGATAAGCAACCAGCAGCTTCTGCATGCTGAGTTTTTAAATTAACACCACAAAGGAGCAGCAGACACGAACAGACAGTCAGTTTGACACAAACTTATTTTAATCTCATCAGAGAACATGTGAAATTTCCTCCCAGAATGTTTTAATGTTTTCCTGGGCGAATAACATGCAACACTGATGATGATGATGATGATGATGATCATCAGAACATTCACATTAGACTGGAAGGAAATAATTCAGGAAATTCATCCAGTGGAGAGACTGACTGTCATGAAGACTTTCTGCTGATCAATAAAAATATTGGAAGAGAAGAAACCTGAACCTGGAACCAACTGGAGGATCAATGTAATCATCTAGTTTTATTGTGAAAGTTCTCACTTTGGGTTTTATTGTTTTATTATTTAATTGTCTTTGTTCAACAAGATACTTTGCAGCTTTTGTTAGTGGAGGTTTGAATGTTCAAAGTATTTATATTTCTGAAACTGTAAAAATAACAAAATATAAAGTTTATGAAAAATAATCCAGAGGATGAAGGAAGTAGATAAAGAGCAAAAACATCCAGAATCAACTTGAAGACAGAAGAAGAAACAGGAGGACAATAGAGCTGAATCAGCATCACAATGAAAACATCTGGACTCACCGAGCCTTTCTGCAGTTCCTCACAGCTGGAACCAGTCTCCGTCGTCCATCTGATGATGTGTTGTACTTCCAGGTCCAACTCATCCAGAATCTCTGACATCTGCAGCATGAAGGCCAGAGCTGAACAGTCAGTCACTGAGAGCTTCTTCCCTGAATCCAGCAGCCGTTGGATCTCCTGATAAAATGAGACGTCGTTCATCTCCACCAGACAGTAGAAGATGTTGATGCTTCTGTCAGGAGAGATTCTATCAGTGTTCATCTCCTTCAGGTTGGTGATGATTCTCTGGATGGTTCTGGACTGGTCTCTGTCTGACCCAGCAGATCTTCTAAGTCTCTGGTTGGACTCCACAGTGAGACCATGAAGGAAGCGGACAAACAGGTCCAGGTGGCCATTTTCACTGCTGAGGGATTTCTCCATGACTTCCTTCATGAACTCATCTAGAGATGTTTCTCTGTATTCGTCCCAGGAACGTCTTGATCTCCTCTGACTTTCTGCTGGTGAAGCAGTGGAGCATGTAGACTGCAGCCAGAAACTCCTGGATGCTCAGATGAACAAAGGAGTAGACGGAGACGTCGCGTGTCCCTCTCTCTCTTTTAAACATCTCAGTGAAAACTCCTGAGAACAACGCAGCATCTTGGATGTTGATGCCGCACTGTGTGAGATCTTTGTCATAGAAGATCAGGTTTCCCTCCAGCAGCTGATCAAAAGCCAGTTTTCCTAGAGACTCAATCAGCTTCCTGTTCTGGACTCCAGATAGATTTGCTCTTTTTCCTCCATCATATTTTTCCTCCTTGATGTTGAGTAGAACCAGCAGGAACTCTATGTACATCTCAGTCAGAGTGTTGGGTAGTTTCTCTCTCTCTCTGGTCTTCATCACATCCTCCAGAACTTTAGCAGTGATCCAGCAGAAGACGGGGATGTGACACATGATGTGGAGACTTTTGGATTTCTGGATGTGGGAGATGATCCTGCTGGCCTTCTCTTCATCATCTCTGAATCTCTTCCTGAAGTATTCCTCCTTCTGGGGTCAGTGAACCCTCTGACCTCTGTCACCATGTCAACACACTGAGCAGGGATCTGATTGGCTGCTGCAGGTCGTGTGGTTATCCAGAGGAGAGCAGAGGGAAGCAGTTCCTTCCTGATGAGGTTTGTCAGCAGAACATCCAGTGATGTTGACTTTTCAGGGTCAGTCAACATTGTAGTGTTGTAGAAATCCAGATTAAATCGACTTTCTCCAGACCATCAAGATGAACAGAACCTGGAACGATTCAAAGTTTCTGATTCCTTTGGTTTTAGTGAATCGTTCATGAATCAGTTCTAATAAGCTGAACTTTTTTCTCTCTCAGTAAATTCAGTTCTCTGAAGGTGAATGGAAATATGAACTCAATGTTCTGGTTGGTTTGCCTTCAGCCCAGTCCAGAGTGAACTTCTGTGTTAACAGTGTTTTTCCCAATGCCAGCCACGCCCATGGTCATCACTGTCCTGATTGGTTGATCTCCTCAGGTGGGACTTTAAAGATGTCTTCTCTTCTGACTGTTTCTTGTTTCCTGGATGCTGTTTCAATCTGTCTGACCTCATGTTCCTGGTTGACCTCTCTAGTTGACCCCTCTGTGATGTAGAGCTCAGTGTAGATCTGGTTCAGACCGGTTTTATTTCCATGTTCAGCGACGCCTTCAGAGAGACTTTGGATCTTCATCTTCAGAGACTCTTTAAGGCCATTCTGGCACTGATCAACAATATCTGGAAAAAGAAAGAAAAACAAACAAAATAAAAACTATTTGCAATTCTCAGAAGGATTTGTGTGTGAAATTCAATGAAGGAAACAAAATTCAATTTTCACAGAAACTATTCCAAACAAGAAAGTCAGATTTTCTCCCTCCTCACAGTTGAAATAACATTTTAAATGAATAAATATCAGAGAAAAGTAAATAAATAAATAAAAAGCTGAAACCTGATTAAACTCTGTAAGGCAACAAAAACCAGGTTCTTGCTGCATAAAAATGATCAGAATCAGTTTTGTTCATTTTTCATTGTTTTTCTCTGATTGAAGGTTTCAGTTAATCAGACATGTTTCCCAAAGAGTGACCTCTGACCTTTGAGCCTTGGAGATTAATCAGAGCGTTTCATTTGAAATGTCATTCTTTTTAGTCGAGTCTGCAATCTTGAAACAAAGAGAGAAACTTTCCACTTTATTAGGTACAGCTGTCCAGTTACTAGTTAATGGTTGGAGGTGATATAAAGGCAGCAGAAGCTGAGATGAAATCTTGTTCCAGCCAAAAACATGGAACCATGAAGGATCCAAGATCAACTGGAACAGCTTTTATCTCAGAAATATTTATTTTAGTCACTTGGAAGTCAGCATGTTGTTGGTGCTGCAATGCATTCTGGGTAGGTGACACAGGCTAGGTGCTAGGAATAAACTCTTTCCAGCCACATCAGTGATTTTTGCAGATAGTGTTGGATTTTCAATGAAATCCAGAAATGACAAGTGTAAGTGAAGATGAGGAGGACCAAAGAGATGAAGAGGAGAGAAACTTTGTTCTTTAGCTTGGAAATGCCAAACTGAAAGGAGTTTATGCTTCAAAGAGCCTCAGTTTCTATCTCAAGCTGTTGACTGTCAGCATCTGATCAAAACATTTTCTCAAATATATTAGAATGATGAGACACAAAGCCTGAAAAATGATTCATTGTGAACTATAACATCAATTCATTACCTTCATTTTTTATCTTACATTATCTAAGATAATGTGTGTTTGCCCAGCTAATAAATTAAACTGGTTTACTGCTGATCACATTAAGAAAATGTTTGTTGTATTTAATAAAACAAATCTAAAGTATCCAGGGCAGCAAGGGTTGGAGACCAGAGCTGAAAAACACTGAATAAAGTGATAAGACCCAATAAGACCAAAGAAGCTTCAAACACATGTAGCTATCAGGGATGCACCGATTTATCGGCCGCCCATTTATCGCTGCCGGTTTCATTAAGTTTGAGAGATCAGTAATCTGCTGATTTTTACATGTGAACTGGATCTTAGCCACCAATATTATCAACTTTTTCTTTTCTCCTGTGAGAAGTTTGACTGACAAACCGGACAACCAGGTCATGTCTGCACATTTACAGTGAACAATAATCTCCCCATCGTTGCCAATTCAGCAACTTTCTTGATATATAGAGCAACTTTTCAGACAAAAACTGGAATCTGAATAACTCAAGATGTCCAAGTAGACAAGTTTATGCCTTTGTCATGGCGAGTCACATTTACCAAACATCACCAGAACAATATGTGAGTAAAGAGATTAATATTTTCATTTATATTGAGATGTGTTATTTCAGGTTAGATGGTCTGAGACTGTTTGTTAAATTTGTGAAGGGGTGCTCAGCCTGAAAAAGTTTGAGAAACACTGTCTTATGACATGATGAGCCAGAAGAACGTTTCAAAAGCCTGGAGAATGCAACATTTAGTTTCAAGTTGGGTAAAATTTTGGGTTAAAACAATCATTAAATGACTTGTTTCTGCTGGATAAGTAGTGAATTCTGCCATTTTAAGTAATTAGTCTATGATAACGATGCTATCGCTAACAACAAACTAACCCATGTGCTTGGATCCCCTGGTAAATCATTTATTTAGCTTCTGCAAACCCAAATTGCTGCTGGAGTTGAGTTAATGTTGAGTCGTTGTTGGATTCAGCTCCAGTGTAGCTCAGCCATTCTGTGATCTACAGAAAAGCCATTAAAACATGATTTATATAGCATTTAAATAATTTACATATGTCCTTCTAAGTAACTGTCCAATAAACATCTGAGAATATAATTTAAATGATGAGATTGTTTGCTGTAAACTCTGGCATTGTTAGTTTCTGCACCTCCAGTTTTCAGCTGTAGATTCTTGATCCACTTTTCTCCTCTTTTTTCGGTAAGTTTGTTCAAATTTCCTCCCCTGTGACCGACTGCCTTTGAAACACAAAAATAAGGTTTATCTTTCTCTCTATGAGGACGGTTGGAACAACAGTACAGGACTCAGACTTTAGGCATTTTGATGCTGGATCAGCAGAAGTAATCGGGCTGCATTTACTTCCTGCCCTCCATCTGCTTTGGGTGACATCGGTGCTGCGTCGTCTGAAACCCAGCAGTAGTAATTTTCCTAACAGTTAGATAAATAGAGCAGAAATTTTGAGTTTTGTGTTATATTTCTGATTTCTATTTTTGCATTATGTATTAACACATCTACTGATGCTAACTTGTACTAAAGTTTATTTTTCTTCATTCCATTTGTTGGAATGAAGAATATATTCCAGCAAATATATTCTTTGTGCCTTACAGGAGTAACCCTGTGTAGGTCCTGGTTCCTGTGTGGTGAAATTGTTTAACCTTTGCAAAACTGCAACAATAACAACCCCACAGGAAATCCTGATGGTTTCTTTGTTTTGTCAGGGAAAATCCAAAGAGGAACAGAAACAGCAAATAAAGAAGTCTCCAGAAACCATAATTTAAGGTGTTGGTCGCTCTGAGTGAAATTAGAACAGAAAACAAATAAATATTTGGTTTTTTAGAGTTGAATCAAAGACAGTAGAGGCTGTAAAAGCAGCTTTAATGAACTGTGTGACCTCACCTTGATCATCAGAGGACAAACCCAGCTGATTGAACAGGGTAGGATCCATGTGGTGAAGATGTTTAATCATCAATCTGCAGGCTCTGTTCCCTTTCTTCAGAACAGCATCTATGGTGTCACGGGCCTTGTCTGCTCTGGTTTGGTTGTTTTCAAGTATCGCCTGTTTCTCCGAATCACCAAAGACACCATCGGTCTGAAGGCCATCAAGGAGCTCAATCAGAAGTTCTTCAGAAACACTTTCCACAAACTCACTGCGAACCTCAGACAGCGTTTTCTCTGCAGACAGAAAAGGAATTAATTCAAAATGAAATGTGAGAGGAAAATGTGAGCAAGAGCAACTAGACATGTTGCAGATTCCCAGCACAGTCTGTTGGTCACAGCTCCTTATGTCTGAACCTGTGACCTGCATCATGTCTGAGTGATGACAACTTTAAAGTTTCTTTCCGCCATGGTTTGGGAGAACCGCAAAAAGTCCATTTTGAATCTGAAGCTGAACAATTTTAGTAAAAATCAAGTAATGAAAAAGAGTGATCAACATATTTTCTTCTAGTTTCTCTTTCTTTACCATCATCACAACGTGTGGCATCTAAAATCTTATATTTTAGGCTACTGGTGGTTGCTTCTGGGGGTAGTTTATTTTACGTGTGTTCAGTTTAAGATTCAGGATGCCGATCTTCTTGGATTTATAACAAAGTCTTTTATTACCATTGCCATTGAAATACACATAAATTTGCCATCCAACCCAAACCAAACAGTAGAAAACTGTGTCCTCTTCCCAGTGGCGGAGCCAGAGGGGTGGCCGGGGTGGTACTTGCCACCCCAACAGACCCCTGGCCCCCCTACTGCCACCCCACTGGAAATGGTCATTTTAAAATATAAATACTTATGAGATCGGCAAAGATTTGCCAGGAAAACTGTAATTTCCGACTGTCCCTGAAGGCAGCCCGATGCCCGACGCTGTTCATTGGTCAAACTGACATGTAGTTCCTGCTTGATCCTAAACACATCAACGGCTTTAGAGTTACACCGTCCAGGAGTTTTGCAGGTATTTCCAACATTTTACCGCTCAGCAGTAACCGCTGTTACCTTCCTAATGAGAGGCGGCTCTTGTCCTACATTTCTAAAAAGAAACAAAATGGTTGTGCACCGCTGCATAGTGCCTCGTTTATTATATTAGCCATGCTAGTGCTGATAGATCGTGTTTTAGACAGATTCTTTAACATATGTTTTAGTGACATGCTGCCCTCTAATGTTTTATATCTCCCAGCTCTTGCTTGAAATGTGTGGTAAGAATATGAGAAAAACCATTAAGTTTTATAATGACTGAAATGTAAGTAGGCTATGTCATATGAAAGCTTTGAATTATAACCTAACTAGTTATATTAATTAATTTTAATTAATGTATTTTTAATTTAGTATTTTAGCTAGCTACAGAAAACTAAAACTATAGTTTAAATAATAGTTGAAATAGTGTCTCTGCCAAACAGTCATGGAGTCTAAATACCAGGCTGTTACTTTGTGTAGAGCCAAAATGAAGAGAAAAGGGAAGATCTCCCAGTTCTTCTTAAGAGGCAAAAAACCAGGACCAGACAGAACCCTGCAGCAGTGACCAGGACCAGACAGAACCCTGCAGCAGTGACCAACCTGGAGAATCCAGGCAGGAGACTCCAGGCCCAAGTGGATCACCAGCAGGTTAGAGGCTGTGACAGAGAGTTATTAAGTATTAAAATCCAATAAGCCTAATTCTAAAGGTTAGCATGATGCTTTTTTGCATTTTTTATTGTGTCTGTTTATGCATTTCCAATGAAGTTCCAGAGAGAGATGAGGGTGATACAGATTCAGATTCAGACTCTGGGGAGGACAGTGAAGCAGAAGGAAATGGCACTGAACTGCCCCCACCCAGCACAACCTATTGCACACCAGAAGCACCAGTTTATTTATTTATTTTTGAGAATTAGTTTTTGGTCATATTCTGGGCTCTGAGTTTACATTTACATGTTCACTGGTCCATAGAGCCGTTTAACGTCTTGTTTGGTCATGGCAATCTTAGTTAAATAAACCATTTTAATTTGAGTGAGAGAAAATATTTGTTTCCTTTCGTTCATCATTTGTATATGGACCCTCTGATAAAGCCTTGCTCACCCTGTGGCCACCGCTTGAAAAAAAGTCTAGCTCCGCCACTGCCTCTTCCATTTGCCACACCTGAACAGAATTACGATTGACCTTAAATAACCCCTCCCCATCAGACACTCAGAAAAAACAACACAATAAGCCCTCTGGTGGTGATAACATGGCTCCTACACAACATCTTCATTTCTTTCAAGATTTGTATCATATTTATTTGTAGTTTCTTTTTCTTTGGACATTTTCAGCTGACAACAGAAAGAAGATAGCAGATCCTCCAGCTGTTACATATTTATGGGATTTTAGATGGAAATCTCTCATTAGTTGCTTTTTCTATCTATGTTAGATGAATGGCTGGACGGAGATTTGAGATGAAGGGGATGGAAGTTAAAATTTACACCTGTGTTACACTAAGTTTAGATTTTAGTTTCACAGAGAGATTACCAGACCATCCTGGCATTTCAAACCTGCAACAACATTACTTCTAGTTAACGCTAAAGATTCTGAGTCTGTGGGGAAAAAAGGACAGTCTATTCCTTAAAAGGGAGCACAACATATTAACTTGAACTTCTCATTTGGACAGATTATCTAGGAGAGGGGTCAGCAACCTTTACAATTTAGAGTCAAGTTTGCCATATCCACAACAAAATTAAATTTGTCTATAGCCACAAAACAAAAAAGAACAGGTCAAAGACATGTCTTGATTTTCCATTCGGGTTCAGGACCCACATCACTACTCAGAAACAAAGATTTAGACACCTGCACCTTCAGGTGGCGCTGAGGTAGAAAATGTATGTTTCAGCATAAAACTCAAAAATTGGAACATTAACAAAGCGGGCAAAGTTTCTCAGAAAGTTTCTCCAAAAGATGAGTCACTGTGCAAAAGTTATTGGTCTAATATTTTTTCACCAGAGATCCATGAACATTGCAGTGTCCAAAACCAATCTCATCCTCTGGGATCAACTCTGAGCCCAATAAAACCAGAAACAAAAAATGAAAAAGTGCTGAATGTTTGATTTTTTGATGTAAATTACCTCATAATAGATAATTAAATATGATTTCGTTCATAGATAAATAATTAAATTGATTAGAATTGTTGTGCTTTTTGGTTTCCGTTGTTAAGGAGGCGTGGTCGGTACTTGAAGATACACGACAAAAAACGAAGGGTCTCTTGCAGAAACTTATCCTTCAGCACACGGAGGAATTACAACAAAAACTGAGCTGTTGCCACAATGAACTGTGCGGCTTCTGGCTTCTAGCTCTGGCACGGACAGCGTTCAGCGATGTCCGGGCAGCGAGCGGTGAGCGCCATATCCAACTACAGTCAAAACATAACGGATCAGCTGTTAGAACTGGTTGCTAAGGCCACCCCAGCTGTCAAGAACAGAATAAACAGACTTAAAACAACAAATCTCGCGATGCGACCTTCCTTACACTGTCCCCCCTTTAGGAATACTGAGTCCCTTCAGTACAGCTTATACAGCCCAAATTTAGAAAAAAGTAGTAGTTATAAGAACTTAATCTTTGCCATAAGGGCAAGAAAACAGAACTAAGTTATTTAAATTATCTAATTGTAACATTCAATTAACTCTCTAAATTAACTAGTGCCTAAATCTCTGTGGTCTTTTGACTAAACGACCACTAGCTGTTTTAACAGTCTTTTCAGACGCGTGTGAATCCCCAGTCGTCCATCTGGATGGCATCCTGGGTCCTTGGGATGGAGGTCTTCACCCTGATCATCTGACAGCGGTAGCAGAGGAACCAGGGGGACATCCTCTTCTTTTGGTTGGAATTCTTGGTCTTGGCAATTTTGCAGCAGCCTGTTTCTTTGGCGTAAAACCCAGACTGGTATCACATCACTGTCATATGGCTTGAGCCGATCATGGTGCATCACTGTGCTGCGCTTGGGGCCCTGTATTTTCATACAGCACAGGACCACGGCAAGCTGCAATAATTAATGGGCCTTTCCATTGTTTCTGAAGTTTAGGGCTTAACCCTTTCTTCTTTGCATCATCTTTGACAAACACCAGGTCTCCTACACTGTAGAAGTGTTCTTTGGCCCGGAGGTCATGCACCCTTTTCTGCCGCTCTTGTGCAGCACGAAGACGGACTCTTGCCAGGTATTGTGCTTCTTTTAAGCTTTCTTCCAGGTTGTAGAGGAAATCTCCAGCTTGTAGTGCATCAACCTTGAGTTTTGCAGTGCCAGACTGGATGTCTTGTGGTTGGTGGACTTCCCTGCCAAGCATAAGCCTATTGGGTTTGAACCCTGTCACTGTGTGTCGTGAGCTGCGATAAGCTGCTGTGAGTAGTGGCAGTTGTTCGTCCCAGTTCTTTTGGTCCTGATTCACATAACATCGAAGCATCTGTAATAAGGTCATGTTGAAACGTTCTACTTGTCCATTGGAGGAGGGGTGGTAAGGGTAGTTCTGGTCTTAGTGATTTGCAGGAGCTTGCAGACATTCTGAAACAGACAGCTATCAAAATTACGACCTTGATCTGTGTAGCTCGAGTGGAGCTCCAAACCTGGCAATGAAGTCGTAGACTAGCTTCCTTGCAGTTGTTTCAGCACTTTGATCAGGAACAGGAAAAGCTTCAACCCATCTTGTGAACTGGTCAATAATAACAAGAATGTATTTGTTCCCAGTGCTGGACATGGGGAATGGCCCAAGGATATCAAGATGTAGGCGGTCCAGTGGTGCTCCAACTTGGTAGCTTTGCAGTTTTGCTCTCTTTGCTGGACCTGTGACCTTGCATGCACTACAATGTGGGCATCTCTTGACAAACAGGTGAACATCTCCACCCACGCCAAACCAATGGTAGCTCTGACGCACACGCTCCAGGGTTTTGGCTTCTCCTAGATGGCCAGAGTATGGAGGGTTATGGCATGATTCCAAGACTTCCTTCTGCATGGACGAGGGAACTAATAACAGCAAGTTTGGACGCTGATCTCCAATTCTCTCCCAGAAGTAATAGAGCACTCCTTGCCTCAGTGTGACTTGAGTCTACATAGGTATGTTTCTTGTTCTTCTGTTAAAATCTATAAATAAATGCTTCAAAAAAAAAAGTACACCACCAGATGGCGCTGCAAAATTTGTTACACAGAAACTGCTGATCAGATTTTCACCAAATTTTGCACAAACCTCCAAACCACAGATATGTTACATATCTAATATGATCCTGGTTGGTTAAAGTAGTGGGGGGACTTGTTTACAAACGTGAAAAATGCTTCATCTGACCTCTAAACTTTATAATATATACACTACTGTTCAAAAGTTTGGGGTCACCCCATTCAGTACTGTAGCTTTTGTGAGGAGCTAAACTGTTTTCAGATGTGTGCACATGGTTGCACAAGGGTTTTCCAATCATCAATTAGCCTTCTGAGCCAATGAGCAATCACATTGTACCATTAGAACACTGGAGTGATAGTTGCTGGAAATGGGCCTCTATACACCTATGTAGATATTGCACCAAAAACCAGACATTTTTAGTTAGAATAGTCATTTACCACATTAGCAATGTATAGAGTGTATTTCTTTAAAGTTAGGACTGGTTTAGTTATTTTCATTGAAAAGTTTGGTGCTTTTAGTGACATTTCAATGTGACCCCAAACTTTTGAACGGTAGTGTATATAGATATACCATGTGTTCATCCAAATGATCAAATTTTCCAGGATGCTTTCTATGACTTGTTCTGAATATTCCATACTCTATTGACATATTTCATATTCCTCACTCTGTTTTTTTCACAAGTTTGCATTTTCAACACTTTGACAATCTAAATTGCTCTCACTAGTGGAAAACAGTCTGAGTAATTCTTCAGTGTTCTAAGAATCTGAGCTTCTTTGTTTGAATAACACCAAATAAAACTTTAATTTTTGCACATATGAAACTCCATAGACCAAATTACCATGCCTCCATAGTGCAGTGATCATATCTGGCCACATGATGGAGCCAAATCCACTTTTTCTGGTTCAGAATTAGAGCCAAACTGCTTCATTTCACCCAAAGATGTTTTTGTCCTACCAGCTTTAAACAGTTTCATCCACATGTTCACTGCCACACATTTACAATAAAGATTTAAAAATATATTTATATTATGCACCTCCACGTTACTCACGTTACAGCTTTGTAGTTTCTTCAGTTGAAATGAGAAACAGGAAGAACTATGACAGAAAGTACTACTACTGAAAGACAGCTTGTCCTAATCAAAGCCCATCCAATATATTCCATGCTTTTCAAAACCAACATTAATATCTCAGTTATATAACAATGAAATACATCATACATATGAATATTGTCATCAGTCTAATAACTCTTGACATGTTTTACTGCCAGTATAGTTGAGCCTTGTCTGACTTTTCCTGCATCCTCATTCACATGTTTGTTGCTTCCACGCTGCAGGAACTTCAGTTCTGATGGTTCTGACCCGTTTGGTGGTTCTGAACAGTAACTTCTGTCTCCCGCAGGAGACATTGTCCTAGTCAAAGTCTCCAGCTGCTTCTTCAGGACTCTGGTCCCTGATTATCCTGAACCTCCTGATCCCTTTCCTACTCTTCCTCACTCATTACATCACATTGACTTTTGACCTTCCAATCAACCAATAATTGCTATTGATCATCACCAATCAATCATCTGATTGGAAAAATCCAACATTTATGCCACTGACCTTTGACCTGGAGATGAACCCGTTTCATCATCAGGGTGACTTGTTTCCTGATGGAGACTCTGCAGGTGTAGATCCCGCTGTCTGCCATTGAGGGGCGGTACAGAGTCAGACTGAGGTCTTTAGTCTTCAGTGGGTCGTCACCCATCCTGGTTCTGCTGGTCAGGTTCTGTTCTTCAGGATCATCAGAACCGCTCGGATACACATGGACCGTCTTGTTCTCTCCGTCTCTCCACTCCACTCTGGCGCCTCCTGGCAGGTAAATGTTGGTTCTGCAGGGCAGCACGACAGATTTAACCCCTAGATCCACCTTCACCTGTGGAGCTGAGAGACACAGAGGACAAGATGAGAGAGAGACAGACAGACAGAGAGAGAGAGAGTGAAAGAGAGACCCTACCTTCATTCCTTGTAGTTTCTATCTTGGCCACTAGGGGCTGCAGCCATTTAGTGAGTGATGTTTAGTTCAGGAATCAGTGCAGATCAGTTGAAGTTGAGTTTGTTGGTAGTTTAAGTGTAATTATGACCATCAGTCTATTTGTGTTTCAGAGAATAATGTTTGTATTTTATAACTTTAGACCAGTCGGGCCCCAAGTGGGTCCTGGAGGGCCGGTTGCATCCTGCAGGTTTTATTCTCTCCTGGTACCAACAACCTGTTCAGCAGGTCAATGTTCTCCTAATGAGCCTCATTGGATCCAGTTGCGTTAAACCTGAGACTGAAACATGCAGGTTTGGGCCCTCAGGGGCCACTTTGGGCCCCACTGCTTTAGACATTTTCTGTTTGCTCATTTTGCCCAGAAGAAGCTGAGTTTTACTTTAAAGTGGTGAATTCTGTTGTGTTTAGTTTCTCTCTTTTACTTTATTTAACTTTATCAATAACTAATGAAACATCCAAACTCCGCCCACTTCCACAGTCCTTCACTGACAGGAAGAGACATTAAATCCTGCTGGTAGTTTATAAATCACTGAACAGGTTAAAGATCTGCAGCTGCTGGATCAACCTGCTGGTTCTGGTTCTGCTCTACATCCAGAACCAGAACCAATCATGGAGAAGCAGCATACAGCTTCTATGCACCATAAATCTGTAACAAAGGTCTAGAAAACTGAAATATAGCTGAAACACTGAGCAGCTGCTGGTTCTGGTTCTGTTCATGTTTCTGATGCTGCATTTGATCTGAACATGAATGAACACAAGGATCTGAACTGATGACAATCGTTGACCTCTGACCCCTAGGACAGGTCACATGATCTCTCTCACATTCTGGGTCAGAAACATTCAGACTCACCTGGCAGGAAATAACCTTTAAAATGATATAAAAATCCTGCAGAGACGATGAGAACCAGAACCAGCAGAGCTGTGGCCCAGGATGGAAAGGGTTCTGTGGAAAACAGAGAAAGATTGACCTCACTCTGACCTTTGACCTTTACCAGCAGCTCTGACCTGATGCTCTGACCTTTCTGTACATATTTCAGAACCAGCGTGTGTCTCAGGACGTCCTGGTCTCTGTAGACGGTGCAGACGTAGCGTCCAGCGTCTCTGTGTGTGGGATTCCTCAGGGTCAGGCCGACGTCTCCGGTCCTCAGGAAATCTTGGTCCATCTCTGTTCGGTCGCGGTAAAATCCGTCCTGGTTTCTCTGGTTGCTGCTTGAGTGAACCATCATAAATTCTGGTTCTGAGCGGGTCCACTCCACTACTGTGTCCTCAGGAAGGCGGGACGATGTTGTGCAGGGCAGGACGACAGAATCTGACCCCTCAGTGACCTCGACCTCCTGCTGATCAGCTGAGAGGAAATAAAGAACAAAATGATCAGAAACAGTTTGGATCATTTTCTGCTTTCATGACAGATTTAGTCTCATCACTGTCTCCATGGTTACAGACACTATGATCAATCATTCATTTTCTCATTTGAACAAATTCATTCATTCATAGAACTTTAACATAGGTTGTGCTGCTTGTTTATCTGACCTTTGACCTTCAGGTGAATCTGTTTCAGGTTCCGTTCTTCTCTTCCATTAGAGATGCTGCAGCTGTAGTTTCCTCCATCAATCTGCTCAGGTTTCCTCAGAGTCAGGCTGAAGTTTCCAGTGTCCAGAGCGTCAGGATTCATGGAGGTCCGGTTCCTGAAACGCTGGTTCTGGTTCTGAAGATCGTCGCCGTTTTCTCTCTGCAGGTGGACGGAGTTCGGACTGAGGTCACTGCGAGTCCAGATGAGTAACGGATTGTCTTCAGGTATTTGACCAGAGTAGATGCAGGGCAGCAGGACAGACTCCGCCCCCTCATTGACCTCCACCACTCCTCCCAGTGCATGCTGGGAAACTGAGGACACAAGATGAGGGTTTAGTGTAGAAATAATGATCAGTTCTTCACTAGAGATGAAAGATTTCAGTCTGTCTGCTAAACGGCTCAGTGATCCTGAACTCTGATCTGTTATGTAACATTAACTCACATTGAGCAAAAAGTCAGAAAACTGATAAAAGTGCATTAAAATAAATACATTTAAAACTGAAAGATGGAAACAGATGAAACTGAAAAAGCATGAATGTTTTCAGAGTTGCTGTTTATTAGCAGAAATCCTGCTGTCAGTTTTCAGCTTGTTTTATCTATTTGATGAGAAAGATTTTTGTTTTAGTATCTTGTGATTGTTGGGCAGATTTTGTTTCTGTGACTTTATAAAAAACTAAAATTCTTCTAACTTTATTTTTCTGGGTTTCTGGTTCTGATTCTTTCTAGTTACAGAGTTTAAACCTTCCAGTAACTTTCAGTCACTTTCTGCTGTGAAACTGAAGCATTTAGTTGATCAAACAACAATCTGGACATTTCTAAAGAATCGCTGTTTGATCCAAAAACTCATAATTTCATTCTGAATATCATCCACAGATCAACCAGTAAACCAGAGAAGAACCGGACCCACCAGAACCTGGTTCTCCTTTAATGGTCAGACCAGCATCATGCATCAGCAGCAGAACATTATGACCACCAACCTGAGACTGAGGTGAATTCAGGAGAAATAAACTACAACCAGCAGGCGGCCATCTTGGATTCAAATGAACATGAATGTGAAAAACTGAAGGCAGGAAGGAAACGCAGAACCTTCAACATCTGCAAACATTCATCACTGGTTTCTGAGGTCAATGTTTCTGGGAGCTAATGTCCAGATTACTGGTCTGAATGGGTCTCAGTGGTTCTGAAGCTCACAGAACTACAACCTGATAGAAAACATCAGAACCAGATCAGCTGCTGAACCCAAACCAGAGAAATTGAATTCAGACAGGAAACGGCAAAGTGGAGCCACTGGTTGGATGGAAGAGACCAGAATCCAACCAGCAACAATAAACCAGTGAGATCTACTGGGAGGACTGGTGAGAGACAAGTCGCTGGAACCAGAACCTGAGGTTCTGATCCAGAACCAACAACCAGCTGAGGTCACCAGGGGTCAGTTAGAGAGAAGAACGGACCAGAACCCAGAAGCTCTGAGTCTGATCAGCAGCTTGCAGAGACTGGAGAGGATGAGGAGCAGAGAGGAAGGTGATCTTACCGAGCAGGAGGATCATCATCATCATCATCATCATCTTCCTCTCAGAACAGAGAGTCGTCCATCGGATCCCAGCAGCGGATCACCTCTGACACCAGATCACCGTTTCTACTGGAACCAGCAGAGACACGCAGGAAGAAACTCCACTGCTGATTGGCTGATTCAGACGCTGCTGAACCGGTTCTGATCCAGTTCCGAGGAAAGGCGGGACCTTCAGTTTCCTCATTCAGCCATGGAGCTGTGAGGAGGTTAAAGGTCAGGAGCTTCAGTTTCCTCATAGTTTTGTTGGAGTTTCATTTCTGTCTCTGTGATCCTCCAGGTCCGTTTACCGGTTTCAGGACCGACCAGAACCCTGAGAAATAATGACATTTGGTTTTATAAAAACAGGTTTTAATGCTGAAAATGATCAGGTGTTACAAGCCATAATGTGATCCAAACGGATCAGAACCAACTTTATCCTGGTGTTTTTATGGTGTTACTAACTCACCTGATCCTCCTTCACTGCTGAACATAAACTTCTTTAATCTTTGTCTCTTATAGCCTGGAGGCTTTAAGATGTTCAAATAGTTTGTCTCAAACGTTTCCAACGACAGTTAAAAACTTGCAGAGTTACAAACAGGTTTTAACTTGCTGCAGCTGTTCACTGGAAGATGTTTATGAGTTTCTGTCTCTGCTGTGCAGGAATGTTTCCTCCTTCCTCAGTTTGCTCATTTAGTTTTTTGTAAACTAAATGATTTGCTCTCTATTGGTGCCTGGTTCTGGTTCTGGTTCTGATCAGAAGATCTGGACAGATTGATGGTTTTCCAGCCTGTCGGCTCTGCAGCCTCCAGTTCTTCATCAACCAGTTTGAACATTTATTTATAACCTGAGAAGAAAACAGAGGAAACGTTTTCATGACTGTAGATTAGTAAAAAGATTAAAGGTAAAAAATAATAATGAACAACATCTAAAACTTAAATATTACTGTGTAAAAGTTTTAAAGCTGTCAGTTTGTTTTGTGTTTTCTTTCCCTCCAAAGATTCAATCTTGGTGTAAAAACGTCTTTTGACTGTGATCAACTTTACAGGAACATTATTATCTTCTCTGCATCTCCACTGTATTGATCCAGATATTAATCAATGATCTGGGCAGAAGAAAAATACTCTTTTTTTGTTCAGTTTCACCTTCCACTAAACCTTCTAACGTTTTTTCATTATTATTATTATTAGAGAAACTAATTGTAGACTTGAGCCTCTATAATGTAATTGAACTAAATCTTTTTAATGATCCAGATATTGATGGGTCTGTTCCGAACCTCCGGTGGGTGGCAGTGACCCACCAGTTGGTTCCGGTCCAACATCAGAGCAGATCAGGTTCTGATCAGGTTCTGATGGTGCAGGAGTGAAACAGATCAGACTGAATAAATCCATCATGTATTGATTGATCCAGTCTGAGCTGCTGTTGTCCTGGTGGCTAACACCGTTAGCACCGTTAGCCTGCAGCGACTGAGTCATTTTCACATTAAAAGTCGCTTTTAGCCGCAGCTGCCATGGAAACAACAGCGACGAAAAGACGAGACAACAAGAAATCCCTGCGGGTTAAAGTCATCAGCCTGGGGAACGCCGAGGTGGGGAAGGTAGGACAGTTTGACTATTTCACATCAAATCTGCATGGAGTCTGGTCCGGTAGAGCTGGACGCCGCAACACGGACTAACCGCAATGTTTTATGTCATAATTGTTTATTACACGTAAACAATTCAGATATTAATTAATTAGATGGAGAAACTGCTGACAGCCTGGATTGCAAACCCTTTTTTAATATTAATAACATACTGATGATGCCTTTAGGTCTGAGGCCAAGACGTTGTTTAGGCCAGACTTTATTTAAATAATACGTTATTTCATTATTCCTTATGATTTCTGTAAACTTCAAAACACTTAAATAAATGTCCTATAATACTGATGACCACTCTACTATTCGGCTTATAAATGATTCATATAGATATTATAATGTATATCAGGAATATTATCTGATGCTAAAATAAGTTAAAAGGTGTTTTATTTACAGTCTCCCAATTTTAAATCTCTGAGTAAATTTGATGATTTTTTTAGACAGTTTCTACTCATGTTTTGTCCATTCAACAGTTGCTACATCAGATGTTTAACACAAACCTTACCAGTCAGTTTCTCGGTAAACTGATCATCATTATTGACAGTTCAGAGGTACCAGTGGGTTATTAATTATTATTAATGGGCACAAAATCAAAAACAAATGCCTGCTCACAAAGTGGAGATAGGAGTAGGAGGAGTGATTGAACCTTTAGTGTCAGGAACATCCTGGTTCTTGACCTGTTTGTACCTTCAGAGCTGCATCATCAAGCGCTACTGTGAGAAGAGGTTTGTCCCAAAGTACCTGGCAACAATCGGCATCGATTACGGAGTCACAAAGTAGGTTCTCACACCGACCGCTGTCCTGAACCAGACGGCTGTACGTCGTAGTGACGTGTGTTTGTGTGTCAGAGTTCAGGTCAGAGACAGAGAAATCAAGGTGAACATCTTCGACATGGCCGGTCATCCCTTCTTCTACGAGGTGAGACGTTACAGGCCAAGGTCTGGATTGTTTCAGCAGGTGGAGGCTCAGCGACTCGCTGGTCCTGCTGCTCGTTTCAGGTCCGTAACGAGTTCTACAAAGACAGCCAGGGAGTGCTGCTGGTGTACGACGTGGGGCTGAGGGAGAGCTTCGACGCCCTGGACAGCTGGCTGGGGGAGATGAAGCAGGAAATGGGCTCTCAGGCCAACATGGACAGCATCGTCTTCGTCGTCTGCGCCAACAAGGTCCGATCCGATCGACCGCCAAGTCATCAATAACATGCTGAACAGATCTGGGTCAGTCCTTCTGGTCTCTGGCGCCCTCAGGTGGACCTGACGAAACGGCGGGTGGTGGATGAAGGTGAGGGTCGTCTGTGGGCGGAGTCCAGAGGGTTCCACTACTTTGAGACGTCGGCACAGAGCGGCGAGGGCATCAACGAGATGTTCCAGGTAGACCTGATGTCCTGTGAGCCGCAGAGTTCGTACTGATGCTCTGAGGTTCTTCCGGTTTCCTCCGCAGGCGTTCTTCTCCTCCATCACTGACATGTGTGAGAACGGCGGGAAGCGGCCGGTGTCAGAGGTCAGTGTGGGCTTCACCAAGGAGCAGGCCGACACCATTCGACGCATCCGCAACAGCAAGGACTCCTGGGACATGCTGGGGGTGAAGCCGGGCGCCACGCGGTGAGTCCGGATCCTCGCCGAGGTCCGAGCTGCGGCGTCTCCTGACGCTGACGCTGTGGTGTGTCTGCAGGGAGGAAGTGAACAAGGCGTACAGGAAGCTGGCCGTCCTGCTGCACCCGGATAAATGCGTGGCCCCCGGCAGCGAAGACGCCTTCAAGGCGGTGGTGAACGCTCGCACCTCGCTGCTGAAGAACATCAAATAACGGAGAACCGCCGCTGCTCCAACACTGCTCCTTATTTATCTGGATATTTACTCTATCTCTGTGCCACAGTGCTGTTTGCCAACCCTTAACCTTTGACCTTTAACCTGAGGACAGCCGGGTCTGACGATGAGGACGGCAGAGTCCACCAGAACCAACCAGGTCCATTTAGAGATCTGAGTCTGCCACTGAAATGTTATTTAGATTTAATTTAAATATTTTAAAATATTTTTATTCTTTTCAAATATTTAGGAAAGTTTCCTGTTAATTTTTGTAGAAATTAAAATTTTCTTTAAAGTTATAATTTTCTTCCATAACATTGTAAAAATTTGTATTTTAAAATCTAAATTAAATATTTATTATTTTAACATCTTAACTGATCAATTAATTATTTTGAAATAATTATTATTGTCACTATTAATAATACTATTTAATTTTTTTGTTAATAATCTAAATTTAAAAAATAAAACTTCTTTTAATGTTACTTTCTGTGAGCGTCCAAATATGTAAATTTGGTTCACAAATTTTTAGGGAATAAATTCTTTTTACAATTTTTGTTTAGTTGTATCAAATGTTTAATTTGGCTAAATATACGTTGCAGCATTTTTAAGAATATTAACACTATATAAACATCACACTTAGCTTGAAAATAACAAAAAGTGAAGTTTTTTACCCCCACCCTTCAAAAAAAGTTACAATTGTAAAAAATGTAAAAACTGAGAAAACTATAAGGAGTTTCTATGGTGATATTGGCAGATAATCCCTTTTTTTAATTTGAGAATTAATTTAAATGTTTAATATGGACTGATTTGGGATTTAGTGTTATATTAATAATAATAAAATGTTTTAGATTAAATGTTCCAAATTCAACATGTTTATTAAAATTATCTCTAAAATCAGAAACAAATCGATTTTCTCCAAAAAACAGATAAAAATGATCAAATGAAATTCAAAGTAAAACTGATTTAACTCAACAAAATGACATCAGCTTCAAATTGGGCTCAGAAATACTGCAGGAAGTTGTCATTTCTAGAGTGAATGTCACTTCCTGCTGGTCTCATAATGTTTGTGTTCTGCAGCTGATGGACCGGTTCGGTTCTGTTGGTTCTGTTGATCAGAACCTCACTGAGCTCAGAATCGTCACTGTGTTTATAAAGGTCAAAGTGCATGCTGAATGTTGAGTTGTGATCCTTAATGTTCCAAACAAACAGCCAGAACCAGAACCAGAACCCGGCCAGCATGGCGCTCAGAGCAGGAACCAATCAGGCGATCGCTCCAATGACCCAGATTTCATCTGAAGTTTATTTACTCAATAATTCATTTAATTTGTTTTAACTTGTGATTCAAACCATTTTTAAAGTTACTCATTTTAGATTCATTTGTTCACCTGATATTCATTCATTTATAAATGTCAGTTTCCAACAAAATTTGTATATTTAAGAAGCTAAATATTTAGTTTGAAGCTCAGCATTTAGCTTGCCAACTGAATATTTAATTTCATACAAGATATTTAATTTGGAGCTAAATAGTTTGCTTGCTAACTCCATATTATGTTTGTTAGCTATTTAGCTCACCAACTATATCTTTAGATTTTAAAATAAATATTTAGTCAGCAAGCTAACTAGTTAGCTACAAATTAAATATAATTTGAAGCTAAACAGTTAGCCTGTTATCTTATTAAATAGATTTGTCACCTTCATATTAACTAATTTAATCCTGGTCATCGTTTCATCTGAAATCTTGGTTTAGTTGGTTTAATTTGTGAGTTTAGTGATTAGAAAACATTTCTCTGAATCTGTTCAAATGCTTTTTGTTGAAGTTTACCAGAATATTTAAGTTAATATTTCATTTTTCAGTGAAATGATGAGAATCAGCCTCCAAAATCTCCTTATTTCCACTGCCAAACATTAAATGGTTCAGTTTTAACTGGACTTTCTTCCCTTTACGTTACCATAGAAAGGATCAGCATGTTTCCCCTGAAGGTTTACATGAAGGATCCAACAGAACCACCTGCGACTGTTTACGGACTTTTATCAGGTCGACTGTTTGATAGCAGCTGGCATGGATACGTTATTGTTACAGTTTTATATTTTACATGTTTGTGTCGACAGGAATGAATAAAATCAGCCTGAGCTTCCACATGTTCAATCAAACTGATGAATTGTTTCTATTTTCTTATGAATAAGTCCTGATATGGACGGTTACCAGGAAATACCTTCACTACTTTATATCCAGTCTGAACATAAAATAAAGTGAAGAGGTTTCGCCACCAGGTGGCAGCACACTGAACCTACATCAGTGGACCACTTTTAGCTCCCTGATCAGATGCTTACAGTCCATCTTCTCAGATTTCTGTCCATCTGTGAAGTTGCCACCAACATGGTGACACAACCTGAGCACACAAACACAACCTGGCCTGGTTGGAGGCCTGCCAATCCCATCAGGCACCTGAACGGTCAGACACAGCCACATGCTTAATCTGACCGATTAATGATCAGCCTTTTGTCCATTTAGGAGTTCCTGATGGGATTAGCGCGGCACTGGGACATCTGCTGGTCAACTTCAGCTCATTACACCAAGCTGCTGCGCCTCACTCAGACCTGCAGTTCATTCAGGAGCTGCAGGTTCTGGCTGTGACCCGAGAGTACCGTCTGTCTTTACTCACCGACACCATGAAGACCGGACGCTTCCGCTGATAAAACCCTCAGGAGGCTGATGAAGAAATGAGGAGCTTGGAAAGTGTGTTTGTTTCATGGATAAATCACTTTGAGCTGAAGAAGTTGGAGTTGATGAACCTGAGATGAACAAGGAAGCAGCAAAGAAACAAAAACAAGACAAACCTCCAGAACCAGAGGCCTTACTGGAGAACAGAAACTGAATTCTGCAACCAGTGAGTACAACTACGACTCGGTTCTGTTCAGGTTTTCATCCTATGAACTAATATTCAGATGATTCAATAAAACCCTTTACCATTTCTTACCGACTGATTTGTTCCCATTGAGCCAATTTACCTTAAATCTAAAGGTTTCAGTTTGGTGGGAAGCAGGAATCCTCTTTAACGGTTCTGGATACTTTAACATGGTTGAGTCAACAGGAAGTTGAAGTACAGCATGGCAGCATGGCGCTGGCCTCAACTGGCATGAGATTAACACCATCTGCTTCATCAGCACTCTGACAGCATCAGTGGAGGCCTCTGCTGATTACAGACAAGAAAACCAGAGTATTAGACACCAGGTAGAAACCACTAAATAACTGGAAATAGAGAATAAGATGCACTTTTAAGCATAATAATAATAATAACTTGTTATATCTGTTGATGTTAAATCCTCTTGGAATCAAAGATGTCCCGTTTGAGAAAACCAAAGAGGCAAAGAGTAGAGCCCTGAGGTTCACCTCAGGGAAAAGTTTGACCCTTGATTTAAGAGCCATAAAGTGGGAAATTAAGGGATCTATCAGATTACTATTGAGTGACTGCACTGATTTGGCATAATGGACAATGGTCTGGCAGAGATCCTGACTGAAATCAGACGAGTGTTTCATGTTTTCTGCTCCACACAGCTCCGTAGCTCAGTCCTACCACCCACATAACCATGACTGACAACAACACCACACTGATAAATGGCGACTGTGAATCAGCCAGACAGCCCAGTGACATCACCTTCAGTGCGAACATCAGCCCCGCCCACGGTCTACGAAGGAAACGTCTGCTGTGGCAGACTGCCGTCAGGAACATCATCGACCAGCACAACCTGTACTCTCTGAGGCTCGCTGGCGGCCTGGAGAGAGGCAGACACCGCATCACCGTCACAGACGCCTACATTGCAGACATCAACAGGTACGACACCTGCTGCCAGAAGCAGCAGGTCCCAAGAACAAGCATTGGGATGTTTTGGTCTTTAATTGGTTTCTTTCTGTGGTTCTGCAGGCAGATTCGCAACAAGACGTCACGTGGCAATTTTTGGCAGAAGCGTCGATCGTCTGTGGCTCGAGTTCATCCAGCAACTCCAAGGATTTCTGTACAAACTCAAGTCGCACAACGTTTGCTTACCGATGCCGACTTCTTTGTGTCGTACGGATCGACGATCCGAGGCATCTTCATTCCCACCATGCAGCTGACATTCAAGTAGAGAAGCTCAAACAAAAAGGAAAAACAGTCTGATGTTCAACAGTTTTTAAAACTTGTGTTTCATCTGGACCTCCAGGTCTGCTGACCTGGAGTTGACCTACCAGCAGTTCTCCTCAGCTCAGCGAAGAACCTCTCTGGTTGTCACCAACCTCATCGACATCTTCATCCGGCTGTTCATCTCTCTGGTGACGTGGCCAACAGGTTGGGGGGCGGTGGCTTGTGACTGGCTGACCGGCCTGTCGCTCGTTCTGTGGGCCGGGATCTGTGGGCTGGCAGTGGCAAACAAGGAGGTGATGACTTCACCACAGTGGCTCAGGTATGGCTGAAACAAAAGGCTGTTAAACGTCCCAACAATATTTGATGACTATAAACAGGTCTGGATTTGCAGGTTCCTGTCGGTGCTCACCTGGGGGTCTCAGACCGTCCAGGTGTTGGTCGGGGTTTTCAGCTGGGCTGAACCCGATCACTCCTGGTATGTCTTCTTCACTCTGTTCTCCACCTACACCCTGTTGCCGCTCCCCCTGCCTTGGGCAATTGCCGCAGGGACAATCACCTCCACCCTGCACCTCCTAGTGGATGTCTGTTGGCACTACAGTGACCAAATTCTGATCAGAAGGGTTAGAAAAACTTTTAGACTTTCCATTTTTTACTGCCATATGTCTTCCCTTTTCAGTCTAAATGCCTCTCCACCTTCTTTATGTTCTTTCCTTTGTCCAGGTGTTCTCAAAAGGCTTGTTGTACCTGGCGATGAATACCGCCGGTATCTTCATGAACTACCTATCTGACCGGACTCAGCGGCAGAGTTTTCTGGAGACACGGAGATGTATAGAAGGACGAGTCCGACTGGAGAGGGAGAACCAAAGACAGGTAAAGTCTTCCCCTCTTAGGCATATTTACTCTTACGTAAGATGAACATGTCCAATTCTGTCATCTTTCTCTCAGGAGCGTCTGGTAATGTCCATCCTACCACGCTTCCTGGTTCTGGAGATGATTGCCGACATGTCTGCAGTGGATGAATATCTGCTGCCTCAACAGTTCCATAAAATCTACATCCACCACTACAAGGACGTCAGGTTGCCAAACCCTTTTCTGATCTGAAGCAAAGCGATGTTATGTGATCTACAGCTTCTGACGCACCAGTAAACATCTTCTCTGTTTGTCCAGCATCCTGTTTGCAGACATCATCGGCTTCACGTCTCTCTCTTTGATTCTTTCGGCTCAGGAACTCGTTAAAACTCTTAACGAGCTTTTTGGACGCTTCGACAGGCTGGCTGAGGTCTGGTGACTTTTTCAACAGTTTCTAAAATAAAAACTGTCAGCCTCCTTTGAGGACGAGGTTAAAGTTTCTCTCGTGTGAGCAGGAGCACCAGTGTTTGCGGATAAAGATCCTTGGTGACTGTTACTACTGTGTGTCTGGAGTCCCAGAACCCCAGCGCGGCCACGCCCGCTGCTGTGTGGAGATGGGCCTCAGCATGATCAGCACCATACGGTAAGACAACAGACACCCCAAACACCATCTGTGCAGACGTCTCTGTGACACATGAACACGATGCTGCAGGTATGTCCGTCGGGAGCTGCAGCAGGAATTGGACATGCGAATTGGCGTCCACTCAGGTTCTGTCCTCTGTGGGGTGTTGGGTCTTCAGAAGTGGCAGTTTGATATCTGGAGCTGGGATGTTGACATTGCCAACTGTCTTGAAGCTGCAGGAATACCTGGGTCAGCAGTTTAAACCAACACCTGGGTCTCTCAGAACAGCTAAAGCCAGTTCATGTTTCCAGCGATTGGTTAAGAGACGTATTCCTCTCTCAGGC